GTAAACTCGAGGGCTCCACGCTAGGCTCCAGTCCTGATTGTCAACCTTCTGAATGAAAAAGTATTTTGAATGATGAAGCAATACGGTAAGAACAGCATTATGTTCTCATACAACTCACACTTTTTTCACAAAGTTATGAGCTTATTAAAATGTAAGCATTGAATTAGTATATCTAATAGTTTGAATTCAAAACCTGACTAAGTCAGAAATCTGTACATGGGAAACAGAGTGAAGCTATGACCTCAATTTCGATAAGACAAAATGTCTGAAATCATTTCAAATCAATAGTAGTCTGATGAAGCTACCCCCATTATGCAAAATCTTGCACATGTGTTGAAACAAAACTATTTTACTCCATGCACCATTCTCTTATAATCTCTAGTAAGAAGCTATGTATTATTCATTTAGAAAGATTTGTTTTCTGCTATAGTCCAACAAGTACTATGATTCAAAACAATAAATATTCAATATGCTACTCAACAGCTCAACTTGCATTGGATAACTGGAAAAGCTTATGTCTAACTTTTAAAATATACCTGTGATCCATATAGGAGAATTCACAGAGTAATGCCCACTCCATGGTTCTTGTGCTGTCATTAGACCACACCTTCCAAAGGGTAATTCTTCATAGTAACTAGCCACCAAATTCCAAGCAAGAGTGCTAAGAACAAGGAATAAGAAAAAGGAAGGAAAATTATATTCCACTATTCGTAAACCAAAATCTTCAAAGTGATTTTACAGAAGATAGCAGCAATCATTAATAAAATCTCAATAACTAGGTATATGAATAAATGGAGAGATGGTTGCCAAAGGTGAAAATATTGGCACAGACTAAGGTTAGAGTGGTATTTATCTGCCTGCCTTTCACTCTCTTCTGAAACTTTTCACTTGATGGAAATAGGGCAAAAATTGAAAGGAGGGGGCTTCACAGAGTTTTATACAATAAAGTGGCCAAGCAAACATCCACTATTTAATTCATCCCAAGAGCTGCTATATATTGATCGATCAAGCACAACATAAGTATTTACCATATTAAGAAACTCTCTTACAGGGGGAACTTCTGCAGAATAAATGTTCTTATTATGAACAATTCAGCTTTTTTTGGGGGGGGGGGATAATTGGTCCAAGTTTCATGCGCATAATGATTTAATTTGTTAAAAATATTGACCCAACTGTCACTGCCAAAAGAATTAAGCAAGGTTTTCACAATATTATAGATACATATTATTGTCATGAAATATACTTTTATATCATCAGATATATCGATACATACGCAGTCATGTTCCCATTTACATAATTTTGATTCAGGATTCGAGCCCAGCAACTTGCACCCACTTCATTGTTGAAAGTACTGTAGTCTTCAGAAGACCAGAGTTTCTTTTGAGTTAATTGAGCATTTTTCACTGTTTCTGTCCCTGGGTAGTGAGCCCTAGACAGGGGGAAAAAGTATACGCTTTAACTCCAATGTATATGCATTTGATTAAATAACATTCTAGAAAAGTATATACTAGAAGGCATGGCATCTTTTCTAATAATGGTATTTCCTCAGGGCTTCAATTGTTGATCATTATATGGAAAACTGCGATTCTTTCATCATCTTCAGTCTTCTTAGTGATCATATGTGAAAGGCATTCCCTCTTCCTCCTCAACTTTGGCAGGTCTCGCCTGGATTTCCCCTCCTTTGCTACAAAAGAATTTAAACGCTCCTCAAACCAACAAACCAGAACAAAAAAGGTTTAGCAGTGACAGTGTCTAGCCCATTTTAGGTTGATCAGACATCCATGTATTTTCCTAAAACCAAAAGCTAATTTTTAACAGCTAGAGATGTCTTTCATCATCTTAGATGCCAGTCATTACACATCTCCATTACGTTCTTTTCAAGATCTCCTTTCCAGAGCATCTGATGAGTTTTAATCTTTCACTTTTAATGTCAGCAAAATAGTTATTCCTTTCTCTCTTTTTCTAAAGGGAATTAAATCATCCCTATTTTTATCTAATAGCTAGAAGGAGCACTTGGTTGATTTCTATGTAGATATGTAAATAGTCAGCAGGAAACCAGGGCTGAATGCGTACTATTATAATGACCATGTACAAAAGACAGGTGGAGCAACTTTTACTCACTAGAGAGCCATTGAGGTGCTACCTCAGCATATGTCTACAGAGATTCTCAGTCATGCAGGTCATGGGTGCCCCAAAGGTGCTTTTCCAAAGTCAACTGGACTTCATTTTTTTCTTGAAGGTGTTTAGCTTCTCATCCAAGTAGCTACTTCAGTTCTGACTGAGTGGTGGGGATTGGAAGGATTCATATTCTTTGCAGCCATATGATAAATCCTTCCATTCCCTACTATTCAATCAGAACTGAAGAAGTTTATTGGATAAGAAGTGAAATGTCTTCAAGGAAAAAAAAGTCCAGTTTTGGACTACCTCAGCCTACCATCTGAGTTGAAACTATATAATTGAAACTACATCTCCTATAAGATCTAGGCAACACTGCACACAATTGTTGATTACAGAAGATATAGTTTGAATATTTGGGAGATCCAAGGTTTCCCATCTCCTCTATATGGCAAAGAAGTCCGTTTCTATCTAAAATAAATAATCTGAACTGGGAAAACTCTTTAATTTTTGCAGTAATTAAACTAATTTTGAGGGGAAATAGTAGGCAAAAAGATGTTTCCAGTTCTCTTTTCCAATTCCTTATTCCAATATTATGCATACGTTAAACCTCATGAATTCAGGTAAACCTTACTTAGTCTCCATTCATTCAGTGATTTGGAAATTATAATGGTGCTGTATGAAGGTCCTCTAAGTTCCAGCTGTTGCAGCACCCCTGTGGTTATGTGAACAAAATTCAGGAATTTGGCAACAGCTCACACTTACAGCTGGTCACAACATCTTCACAGTCCTTATTTTAGAGTCCTGCTATTCTTAATAACCTACGGGCAACAAGAGTAACTGGGACTACCTAAATTGCTGTTGCAAAGCAATAGGATCACATAATGTTGCATGTTACGACCACATCATTTAGTGATGGCAATCCCAGTCCCAATTGTCATAGTAACTCCATACTACCTGCATAAGAATCTCAAGGGAATAAGCAGCCTGGGTATTGCAGTGAAACAGAAGATGGAAAAAGAAAGTGAAAGCATTCCCTTGAACTTTCCTATGCAGAATTGCCAGTTTCTGACAACTACACTGAGTACCCCATGGACAAAAGGACAAGAAATCAAACATAAATTTTTTAAAAAAGGTTATCCGGTATGTGGTCATATTTGCATATGTCATTTGACACTTTGAAAGTTCACCGGTCTAAAGACTGCAACTACTTAATATTCCACGAAAGATTTTTTTCCCCCAAAAGGTGATTCCTATCAGATGTGACCACAAGGGGTTATGAGGAAAGAATCAGTTTTGTAAAGATGCCCTACCCAATAACACTGATTGCTTCATGGAGCTCAGAGTCAGTGAGCATGAAAAAGGATATTGGTTCCCAGAGGTAATCGCTGGCTATGATCTGCACTCGATGAAGGTCTTGCTTATCCAAAGTGTACCTTAAAATCTTTTAAAATAAAGAGACAAGACAAGAAAAGTAGCATTTTATTCATTTTTTATTTATTTATTTATTAAATTTGTATGCCACCTATCTTTCTGCCCAGCAACTTTTTTCCCACCACTTTGAGAAATAAATATTTAAAAAGCCAAAATGTGCCGATATTTTTTTATATTTTTTTTTGCTGAATCTAGCTATAAAATAGACATTTCTCTCTCTATGGCAGGTAAATAACTGTGAATAACAATAGCAATAGAACTTAGATTTATATACTGCTTTGCAGTGCTTTAGGGCTTTCTCTAATTGGTTTACAGAATCAGCATACTGCCCGCAACAATCTGGGTCCTCATTTTGTTGATCTCGGAAGGATACAAAGCTGAGTCAACCATGAGTTGGTGAGACTCGAACTGCCAAACTGTGGGCAGTCGGCAATCAGCAAAATTAGCCTGCAATACTGCATTCTAACTACTGTACCACCACAGCTCTTGAAGTTACAATACCTGCAACCATTTGTCTGCCAAAGGGGAAAATAGAGAAAGATGCCACTCTCTTCAACAGATTGCTTCATTTCTAAAAGTTTTAAATGGACAAAGTTCATAATGTCGCTTTGGATAGTGAGATGGGTGGCATATAAATTAAATTAAATAAATAAATAAGCAAGTTCCATGGACAGGCTGGGGAAACAAAGAGGCAAGCCTCATTTCCCAAACAAAGGGGAATTTCCTGCAGCATCTTCTATAGCAGTGGTGGCTAACCTTTTTGGGCTCCTGTGCCCAAAACTGTGTGCATGCTTGCACGCATGAACTTGTGTGCCAGCACCCAGAAGGCAATGCGTGCACGCCCCCTGCGCATGTGTGTGCAAGCCCCCTTACCTGCACTGCGCCTCACAGCTGATTTTCAGCTGGTTTGAGGCCTTTTTCAGCCTCCCAGAGGCTTGAAAAAAGCCTCTGCAGGTTTTTCAGGCCAAATAATAGGCCTGTTTCATCACTTCCGGTATTACAGGAAGTGATGAAATGGGACTATTCGACCTGCAGAGGCTTTTTTCAAGCCTCTGGGAGACCGAAAAAGGCCTCAAACCAGCCAAAAATCAACTGTGAGGCGTGCGCACGTGCAGTGACGCAAGTTTGCCTGTGGGTCGGGTGCCGGCACAAATGGCCCACCTGTGGCACGCGGGCCATAGGTTCGCCAACACAATCCTATAGCATGATTTAAAAAGTCTTTTGTAGGCAAATATCTGTCATCTCAGATGCCAGAATAAGAACATGTTGAAGAATAAACAAATCAGGGCAAAACCCAATGTCTGCTCATATCACAGAATGTTCTCCTCCCTTCCTCCCCACTTTTGTGATCTTCCTGCCCCAAATTTATGCCAGAAGTTTCTTCCAACTCAGAGAACAGAAATTCTCAGTCATCCAGGTCATGGTTGTTCCAAAGGTGCTTTTTCAGGAGGCAACTGGACTTTATTCTGAAGAAGCTTTGTGGATGAGAAGCGAAACATCTTCAAAGAAAAACAAGAAAGTCCAGTTGCCTCCTGAAAAAGCACCTTTGGACTAGAGAACAGATGCAAATGATGCACAGGGAGGAGGGTGGAGATTTTGAAGTTCTAAAGTGATGCTACAACTAAGATTCACCCATTTATTCCCAAATATACATAATTAGTAGCAAATGGTGGTTTGATGACAGCCAAGCAGCTATCTAGACTGCCAATTTAAACTTTCCTCAAATGCAGTGTCATCAGAGCAGGGGTGGGATTCTACTGGTTCAGCCCAGTTCTATAGAGCCAGTAGCTCCGAAGAGCACCTGACACCGAACCGTTTCGCTCCAAAGATCTTCTTTGCTTCGGTTGGGCCCAACCACCCAGGCTCTAGGCTGTCCTTTATTCCCTGCTTTATTCCCTGTGCTGCGCGTCGGCAGAAGAAGATTATTGCTTGCAGGAGAAGTTGATTTACAAGTACTGCTCACGTGCGCTCAATGAACTGGTTGTTATGCAGGTAAGATCCCACCCCTGCATCAGAGAACCCTGCATTTTTGAACATCAGAAGAAAGACAGGCACCCTGCTGTGTATAAGTGGTGATACCTGCCCCATGAATTAGGGGGGGGGGGACATAACTATCAGCCAGAATAATTCTAACAGTTGTAAATGGTAATGATTGCAATGACACTTGGAAGTTTGATCATGACAGAGGTGATATCAGTTTTAGAAGCATTCCCATATCCAAAGTTTCTAAGTTTCTATTTCTATTCTTAAGAAAGAACAGAAGTGCAAACTACAAAGCTTATGATCCACAGCAATCCTCAGCCTTAGAATAAATGCATAAGTATAAACTTTCATTTATAAATTTTCAAATTTTCAGGTATAAATTTTGTTATTATTTAATAAAGTGCCACCCTTTTGCAGAAAAATCATTTTTAATTGAAATCAAACACTGTTCCATTGTAAATATCTTAAAATTTATCCACTGAGCAACGGCCTTTGGGTGCATACAGCTACTCTCTAATGGTTTAGGTTAGTCAATGAGTTAATTAATGCAGCATAGACAACTTATTAGAGAGCCATAAAATCAAAGCACTGATAACATAGGGAATAAAATTAGATGATACAGGTTAGGCAGCATATTCACTTTGGAAAGGCGACATAATGCATAATGTACAACACTATCCTGCATCTCTGGCATTCAAAGTAAGTATGACACAGATCAAAAAGCAAAAAGAATATATTAAAAATACCACCACAAATATTCTTATGCTACAGTAACACCGCCATCGCTGAAAAAGGCCAAGCAATTACAAGAAACTTCCTCAGAGTTCCTATTCTCTTCTATTGGTTACTTAATAAGATAATCAACAGTGTTTTAACATTCCACACAATCATATATATGAAAATTATACACACACACACACACACAAGTATATCACAACTTTTAGACTTTATGCCACCAATTTTCAAAATTTCCCCTAAAGGTCAGCACATAGTGAAGGTACTTAGAATTCTGTATATATATGAAGCCTTAGGTTCTTAGGATACCCATAGGAGAGGAAGTTACTATTTAAGAAGCATCTGTGGAATATACTATATAAAACAAAAGTCACATAGTTACAGAAGATAGCAGAAGGATGTTGGTATCCTATTAAGCTACAAAAAATAGTCAGCTGGAATTAAAACTAAAGTCAGGTATCGGACTGAAAACAAGTGATACTACAGCCCATGCATAAGAAAAGCAGGTTAATCAAACTTGTGTCCAAATTCTAATCAATACAAAACTCTACATATAATAGAGGAATCACTGTTCCTCTGTTTTTCCACACTTACCCTACTATCTCAACCGCATCATATAGATAAGGATCGACTAGCATTTTATTGGCAATGTCCCAATTTCCATCCGCAGCAATGATGCCAAGGGTCTTTAAACCCACTCTGTCCAAAGTTTTGCGAAGTACCTTGGTAACAGATATTATGATATTATATTATAATATTACTTGAAGTATAACTTTCATCAACTAAGGAGCATGACATTACCTTAATGAACAAATAAAAACAAGATAATTGAATTCTGAAACAAATTGTTAAAAAGCTAAAATAATGTATGCTGTTGGCTTGCCTACATTTCATTGTCCTCACTAGGAACAGTGCACTTTTTGGTGATAATCAATCAGTAAGAAACGTTACTTGTAGGAGGTTGGCTACTTAATACCCAAATCACAACTAAACAAAGAGGCAGTGATTAAAAGACACATCTGAGGAATTTAGGTGGCACAGGAGACTGAAACTTTACTGATCTACTCTCCCAAATCTATTTTATAAGTAATCAACAGGAGAAAAAAAGTATACATTACATGAACTACCTCAAATGGTATTCACATGGTATCAACACCAATGTCATCTAACTAGAGCCCATTCTTACTCCAGAAATTGAGCACTGACCATTTAATATGAATTTAATAGATTACCCGGCTATTGGGAAGCACATCTTGAATGCAAGAATTTGAGAATTCTTGTATCTTGTTTTAAATTAAAAGATAAACTAAATCATTATCAGTGTTCTACACAGATGTTCCCCAGAAATATTAAACCTTATTTGACTTACTAACTAATAAAATTCCCATTTAGTGGTTTTTATAGACTGTATAGATTAGAACAATTGGTTAATCTATCTCAACAAGTAGCTGTTGGAGAGCCACTATCCCAGTTGGGAGGAGGGCTCAGACAGGGAATTAAGTCTGTTCCCTTGGCTACATCCCCAGATGTACAAAGCCAGGAAGATGACCTTGAGAGAGATACACTAGATCCGTTACCAAAGCAACAAGAAGAAACACATGGCTTAAATTTAAGCAGGCAGAAATATAGGTAGCCCTCACTTCCCCACTACAATGGGCAAATCAGCTGCTGGCAATTCTGTTGATAAGTAGAGCAGTTGTTAACCAAAATGTCATGACACTGCACCAAATTACAATGTCAGTTCTGGTTGTAGTCATTATGTGAATCACCGCAGGTTGTTAAATATGATGTCATCTGACCATGACTTGTGATTTCCTTGTGGCTTCCCCATTGACTTTGCTTGTTGGAAGCTGGCTGTGAAGGTCGCAAATGGCGATTGTGTGACTTAGGAACATTGTAACCATTGTAAATGCATCCTGGCTGCCAAACAGCTGAACTGCATTCACAGGACTGCAGGGAAGCTGCAATGTGTTTAATTTTTCTGTATCCTTGCAAATTTGAATATCATTGAATGAGATCAGGAAGCAAGGACTAGCTCTATGTATAAGCAACTCAGATGCACACCTCCATAATTCATATAGAAATTCACAAGAAAGGAGGCACAGCACAATCACACGTACAAGATTTTGTTATTATAGGTTTTTTCTCAATAAAAGCAGGCCACCTTCCTATACAGTTGAAGCTTGATCTGATCTACTTGGTGGGGTTACAACAGTATCCAGAAACTATCAAAATATCTTTGTTTTGGTCTAGGTGCAAAATTGTAAATATCCTGTAAATTTGTTATTTGTAAAAATAATAAAGTTGGGATATAAACAAATACATGAATTACTAAAGTGGCCTGTAGATATATGTTGTTTATTTTCCTATGACAAACAAACCTTTTTGTTAAAAAATGAAATTGAGATAATTTGGGGGGAAGCTGTTTTATCTGTGGCACAAATGTCCAGGGTCCCCCACAGCCATGGCTGCTAACTGCTTCACAAGTAAAAGCATAAGTGCAGGAGGACCCGCCCAGACTGTGTATCAACTCTGTCCAGGGAATGGAAAATTTATAGTGAAGGTTACAACTGTGATCACAGGACACTGCAATTATCACAGGACACTGCAATTATCGTAAGTCAACTGACAAGCACCTGGATTGTGATCCTATTACCAAGGGGATTGTGTGCCAGCCAGAACTTCAAGGACTTGTCATAAATACCACACATCATCACCACTACAACTTCAAACTGCAGCTGAAAAGTGGATGGTAAGTGAGAACAAGCTGTATATAGAAAAATAACTAAAGTTGCAAATCCACACCACCCATTCCTGAATGGCTTTGGCCAATGTAAGTCTGCCTTGACTCCAGTGAAAAATTGTTTTAAAATAAAATGCCCTTTACAGAGAAAGAAGAATTAATTATCAATTGTAGATGTGCCTATGGTGGGTCCTACAAGAAATGTTTTAAACGTGAGGTTTGAAAAAATATGAGCTCCTGAAAGAAACATTTACACCACGAGTACCTTAAATTACATTCATAAAACAAATGGCAACCAGTATAGCTTGTTCAACACAGGTGACCTATGAAATGCTATTGTACACACCTGCCGCCACATTCTGGGCCAGCTGCAATTTAAATTACTAAAAAAATCAATCAGCAAATTTTTCCCACACATTTCAACTCACAGAGATCTCCCCTTAGGAAATAGGCAAGTGTCTATAGCCTTCAGGTCTAGTCACTTGGTATCAAATATTCCTTACATTTTAAATCAGCAGTAAACCTTATTTTCAAAATAATGAACTCCATAATGAAAACTAACATATTTAAATGTACAAGTGTTATAAAACAGAAATTGTATCTGATCAAAGCAGGAAATACTTCTTTTAAAACCTAATTCTTTTTCTGGATTAAGTTTTGTAACATCCTTCAAGCTAAGCATCAATTGGATATTATAAAGAAATAAGTATTATGTCTTCTTTTTTAGATTCTAGATACTGTCAGCTTTAAAATTCAGCTGCCATGTATTATTATTTTTTTTTGGAGAATTAGAGGAGTTGGAAAGTTCAAGGTTATTCTGTGTGTTGTATTAAGACTTTGCAGTTGCAGTTAATTGGTTCTCCTGATTTATGAAGTGTAGAAGTGGGAGGAGAGAAGGGAGGAGAGAACGTGGAGTCTCTGTAACAGACAAAAAAGCTTTCACTTGGGAAATTGCTTTCCAACGTGCCAGATCTGTTCCTGATAAATCAATTGGAGAGATAACGTCTCAGAGTGATTGATATCATGGATACTGTCTGGATGCTTGACAGATACTGTATCTAGATTTTAGATAAAAGTTCCTAGATTCATCAGTCACTAAAGGCCCAAGCTCTATCCATGGCTTAGAGTGCTTAATGTCAACTTGGATAATAGATCACTTAGACGCTTTTTCTGGAGAGGGACAACCTAGCTACAATTATAGCCTCCGCCATAGATCATTCCAAGGTATTCAGTATAAAACTGTTCTTATACTTGGTCAACAAACTGCAGCTGTATAGTGGAGCAACTAAGATGGCTAAGTTCCTGAACTGGCTGCTAGTTAGCTACTAATCCCTGATCATGTTTCTAGCTATGATAGTCAAGATCCTAAACAACTCGGGATCAGAATACTACCTTTTGAGCCAGTAGGATAATGAACAGACACTAGTAAAGGCCCTCAAATTGAGAATATTTCAGCTCAAATGTCACACAAAAGGAACAGCATTACATTTTACTTTCAGTGTCCAGTCAGTATTATATGGATAACACAAAATGACTCAAATGTTATTAGTAAATACGAGAGCATGCAAATGTAAAGCAGATGGGCAACAAATGCAAGCATATTTTAGTATTCATCAAGGCATGCAAATAGTGTTGTTTACCTGAAGTAAAGTAACCCTGCATTCTTGCTCTGCTGCATAATTTTGTTCCCTGTTAAAGCAAGAATGAGACTCCTACTTGGCTAAGTAAGTAAAGGACAGTAGTTGACATACCTTGATATATTTGCTGTTAAAAGATCGCTCATTCCAAATCTTAAATGAAAAAAGGGGAGGAAAGTGTTAGAATGTTGCTTAAAAACTAGTAATAAAATTTAACTGCCATCAAGACTAGAACAAGAATTACAAGAAAATTCCACTAAGTCCAGTTCCCAACCCCAAAGCACAATAACTTGAGTTGGAACCCTATCAATTGGAGAATGAAGCATAAAGGGGACAATTTAATATCTCAGCCACAGTGTTTCTTTAAAGACTGCATGACTAAGTCAGTGTTTCTCAACCCTGACAACTTTAAGAGAAGTGGAGTTTTAACTCCCAGAACTCCTCAGACAGCATCTTGCTTGGGAATGCTTAGAGTTAAAATCCTTACTTCTTAAGGTCAGACAATACTTCCCCAGGTCATTCACAACACATTAAAAAATATGTACTCTTTAAGTTTAGCACTAGAAGTGCTGCTGCAGTGAGAGACAAGGTCTTTTTATCAGTAATATCCTGTGAGTGAAGATCCTCTGTAACTTTGTTTAAATGCCTTTTTACTATTTTCCAAAATATAACTACTCTAAAGCATGCCAAGTCACTTATTTCTTAGAAAATAATTGATGTTGCTTCATTATTATTGGATGTTTTCTTTAAACACTGATATTTGAATTTTATATATATTCTTCTCTGGGATGCAATTTTGTTCTCAAACCAAGAACTCAAGCTTAAAATAAAAATCAAAACTGACTGTTGCCATAGACACTGATGCTGCATCATCTCTAACCTTGGTAATGTCTCAAAATCAGGGACACATTGTCTACAAAAATGTCAAATTAAATTCTACACTAGAGCCATTAACACATTGTCTAGCTCCAAAGAAAACTCCTGTCAGTGACTATAACCTTGCAATTTTTTAATCATTTATGATGGACAAATAATTAGTGGACAGCTTCCCAGGCTATTAAATATCCAGAGGCACCTTTCTCTAATTCAAAGACTCATTTTCAGATATTACACAAAATCCAAGTTTAGCATACCATGAATAAATCTGAATTAGTTTCAAGCTTATGCCATATATCTATATAATGTATGTATGTACGTATGTATGTACCGTGTTTTTCACAAAATAAGGCCAGGCCTTATTTTTTTTTGACCCCCGAAAAAACGGCAAGGCCATCTTTTCGGGGGTGACTTAATTCCCCCCCTTGCATCCTCGGGTGGATGGGCAGCAACAGCTTTGATGTTGACCTTGGCGTTGGTGGGGCACTTCGTATCGGGAGACCATCCGCCACTGTTGCTTTCCCTTCTCCCTTGCTGCCGCAGCGTTTAGAGCAACGCCATGGCGTTTGGCACAGCCATGTGCGGCCAGCCAGGGCTCCTCCCTGCAACCAGAGCCCGGCGGAGACACTCGACTTCAGGCACTCCTTCACCACCTTCCCTTTGCCTTCAAAGGTAAAGCCAATTATTTTAAAAACAACTCCCTACTACAACAAAGACTCCCCTGCCTGAGAGGGCAGCCCAACCCCACGTGGGGAGGCGAATCTCCCGGGGCCGCAGCACAGGATCAGGCCACCTCGGGAGAAGCGCCCAGCCACCATCTGTGTGGTGCCGGGCAGAGCGGGAAGAGCTTTGCCTGGGGCGCCCAGCGCAGCTGACAGGCGGGCTCTCCTTCCGGGCAGCAGAGCTCTCACCAAGGCAGCAAGCGCCTCCCCACCGGACCCTCCGGTCATCCCGCCAGGGCAGCGCTAGAGCTGTGCAGGCTGGGCAGAGCCAGGAAAGCGAGCCGCAGGTGCGCGCCCACCTACCAAGCAAAAGAGCCAGGCTGACCTGAGCTTGGCTTCCTTCCCAAGTCCTTCCAGCACGAACCCGAAGGGGCCACCGGGAGAGGCTGCCGCAGGCAGTGATAGCGCCCACCCCTCCACGGACAGGGAGGTGAGGTGATGGCAGCGCTGCTTCCCGAAGCCGCCCGTCCTTTCCACCCTTCGCCCAGCCCGTCCCCATCCCCACACATGTCCAAATGTACCAGCAGCTCCAAACGCTGCAGCGGAACAGGCTTCAGGCAGAGGCGCTGACTCAGCGGGGCTCAGCTCGGAGGAGGCGGCTCAGGCTTTCCTGGCTCTGCCCAGCCCACACAGCTCTGGCACGGCCCTGACGGGATGAGCAGAGGGTCCAGTGGGGAGGCGCTTGCTGCCTTGGCGAGAGCTCCGCCGCAGGGCAGGAGGACCCACCTGTCAGCTGCGCTGGGCTCCCCAGGCGAAGCTCTTCGCGCTCTGCCCGGTGCCAGGCAGGGATGGCGGCTGGGTGCTTCTTCCAGGATGGGCCGATCCTGCACTGCAGCCCCGGGAGATTCGCCTCCCCACATGGCGTTGGGCTGCCCTCTCGGGCAGGGGAGGCTTTGTGGTATCAGTAGTAGGGTGTCATTTTTAAAAGAATTGGCTTTGCCTTTGAAGGCGAAGGGAAGGTGGCAACAGGAGCACCTGAAGCCGAGTGTCTCCGCCGGGCTCCAGTTGCAGGGAGGAGCCCTGGCTGGCTGCGCGTGGCTGCGCCAAATGCCGCGGCGTTGCTCTAAACGCCGCAGCAGCAAGGGAAAAGGGAAAGCAACGGTGGAGGAAGGTCTCCTGATACGAAGTGCCCCACCAGCGCCAAAGTCAACGCAGGCAGCACCATATCCAGGTATGCAACAAAAGTACTTCCTAACAGCAAGCCCCCCCCCACCATTCCCATTTTGCATGTTTAATATAGGCCTTAATTTGGGGGGAGGGGCTTAATTTGATTTTATGCCGATAAAACATGTTGGGCCTTCCTATTGGTGGAGGCCTATTGTTGGAGAAACACGGTATGTGTGTGTGTATGTATGTATGTATTTATTTGTTTATCGGATTAATATCGCCATCTATGTCATGCAATTACTCTAGGCTACTCAATCCATGAAATCTATTTTAAAAACAAAGAATAAAGGAAAATATTTGTAGCTGAGGGTTGACATAAGGGTTCTTGGTGCTCTCTGGCCTTACTTGTTTTCTTGCAGACATTTCATTAACCTAAACTAGGTAATATCATCAGTGATAGTTTGGGTAATGAAATGTGTGCAACAAAACAAGCAAGCTCAGAGAGCATCAAGGACCCCTCAAAGAATACCCTTCTCCTCAGGTACCAGAACAAACTTTCTCCCAGCTAAGCCCCACCATAGCCCAAGCTTAGAGGAAGAGCCAAGTCTTCATGGCCTTTGGGAACAATAAATCCATGGAACACCTTGTCTTCAGAAGTTGTCAGGTGTTTCACCTCTGGAAGTTCTTAAGAAAAGACTGGTCAACTGTCCCGAAATGGCTTGGGTCTCCTGATTGAGCAGGGGTTTGGACTAGAAAACCTCCATGGTCCCTTTCCAGTTCTATTCTGATTGATTGAAGGCCGAAAGGGTAGCAATCCCTTGAATCCAGATGGAAAGCTAGAGGGCTGAGGTGAAAGAAGGCCTCCAAGGTCCAATCATGTGGCAATATTTAAGGGAGGGGATTTGAATGGACCAATCTTAACTAACTTATTAGGATGGGCAAATATTGTACCATCATTTTAACAGAAGGACATGGATTATCTGGCCAACTCCACTTGGAAAAAATTGTATGTTTTAAATCCAGTCTGGATTTAAAACTAATTAAAAAGCCTGGAGTTATTTCAGATAGTGAGATGGGCAGAATATAAATGTAATAATAAACAAATAAGCATTTATGAAATTTTTAAAAAAGCTCCTTTGAACCAATCAATTGCATATAATCTATGTAATTCTAAGCATTCGAGAAAGAACATGACTAACTGGCATGCAGATTTTTTCTGCAATCAGTCCAAAGTAAGCTAAACTATTTTTTACTTATGGATGAAATGCATGTTAGTGTAAGTCCAAATTCACTTTACTAGTTCAATTGCCTTTTATATTAACTTTTATTTTACCATCCCAATCATGCCCTTTGACCAAATCGCCCGCAAATAAATTGCTTAATGCAGAAAGGAGGGGATTAAAAAAAATACTTGGTAAACATACCTACATTATAAGCCATATGGTACAAGTTGTATTTAATTTTTAACAAAAAACAGAATGTGACTCTACTAACCCCAATATAGTCAATATCCAAATCATGATATTTTTTAGCACCTATAATCCAGGAGATTATATAATATGCAGTGACATCTGGGTAGTCGTAAGGCCAATCCATACCCCTCCCAATCCATCCTGGAAAAGCCCAGGGTAAGCCTGCAAGGGGAAGCATAAAAAACACAAACAAACACAAAGGAAAATTATGCTTAGCACATCAATTTCACAGAGCTAAAATGTTGTTTTTTTAATGTTGATAATGTGGGGTGAAAAGTACTAAATGGTCAGAGTTATTGTGGAAAGAATTTAATGTGTTCATATGTTCTAGGACCAATAATCACTAGATTCTGCACATTATACTTCTTTTTTCTACAATGCTAGTGTTATCGTTTTCATTATTAATAACAGGATAATTCACTGAAATGGAAGAATGAGCGGTAAAAGCAACTGCTAGCAAGAGCTGGATGGAACAATTAACAGAATTAAGAACAAGCTGATAATTAGGAGTGTGTTTTTCCAAAGCTTTAGAGCACTGATTACAAACTGCCATATTGTGCTTATGAAAACTGCTTCATAAAAAGGCATGTTATTGTTTCAAACATTACTCCTGCCTTTATTTTATTTATAAAAGCCCTGAAAACCATGGTTTCTCCCAGGTCATGGTATAATTTGAATGGCAGGGTCATTTAGAGAGGTTTTGTTTACATGGGAGCAGTTTGATTCTTCTGTATCACTATCACCTTCTGTTAATTGTTGCCTTTTGTCTTTTTTTTTCTTCAATATTGTGAACCGTACAGAGTAATTTTTGAATTGGGAAGCCTTATAAATTCTATAAGCAAACAAACAAATATGACATGTATAATGAGGCCCCACCTACTTTGTGGTTCCTCATTCCTCTCATATGCCCCTTGGCCAATGAGTTGATTAGAAGTCAGGGAAATTAGATGAACTAGAAACAGAGAAAGAATGAGAGGGGTCAGAGGTAGACAACATAGCTGAAGAGTGGGATCAGACACATAGAATTCAGAAGCAAAAGACTGGTGATGAGAACAGTTGATTTAAGAAAAAAAATCAGTAGATTGCATAGAATGGCATTCATTTACCAGCAGAACAGGTACTGCTAATAAGTTTTCACAGATCTGCTTGAGAGATAGAATAAATCTTCTGAGTAAATCAGAAGGAAATGCAAGGGGATAGGGAGAAGGATATGAACAGAAAGCCCAATAGCAATAATAAAAGTTAATTCAGTTGATGCCGGATGTAATTCAATGATGTAGTTATTAAAAATATTTTTCTTTGTTAGATAATTACTTGCTGTGCGTGGACAGATTTAACTTCCTGGATTCCAAGCTGAGTATATTTAAGATTGGCATATATTATTTCTTTTTTCTTTCTTTCAGGACTCCTTCCTGTTTTTATATATTATGGTGTTTTCCAAACAAAAACTTTCGTTTGTATGCGTTATACAAGGGGTGCTTTTTTAATGGCCATTTGTTCAGTAGGTGTTCAAAATTACAGCAGTGCTGAACGAATGGTTCTCAGAGTTACATTCATTGCACCACCATGCGACCAAAATGGGCACCACATTGAGGAGGGTGAACTGCCAGTTGGTGAACTGTCAGTTGGGAGTTGGTGAACTGCCAACTCCCTCCCCACCTAATTCTCCTCCTCTGGCCTTTTGGCCATTTGCACTCCAATGCCCCTCCACCAGACACAACTCATAGGCAGCAGGAGGAAGAAAATGGAGAGGGGCAGCTGGGATAGGAGGTGCTGTGGAGGAACAAGGCAATATGTAGGAAAGATGGTAGGGGCAGCACGGCAATGGAGGGCACAGTAGCAGGACAACAGGGGCGGTGGAGTGCAGGGCAGCAGAGTGCAGGACAGCCAAAAGGGCAGAGCTGGGGGAAGATGGGCGGGTGTGGGGAGTTGAAGTATTCTATGTAATTGTAAGAGTGGGTGGGCTGCTGAGCACCCAAATTTTAGTCACATGACTTCAGTGTGGTGCAACTGCCATAGCTTCAAGGACTGGGAGTTAAGTACCATTTGTTCAGTGTCTTCATAACTGAACTTTGCTGAACAAATGGTTCTTAAACAAGGACTAGTTTGTTCTCACATACAATTAGCTGCATTGATCATATTTACCTGAAAAACAGGCCATTTTGATTTTTAATACCACTATTTTCAAAATGCAAACTTAAATTAAAGAAAAATACTTTGGGATATATAACAGTAATTAAAGGAGTATTGTTAGTAACAAAAGCATTTTTTCCCAGGCTCCTCCACAATCTTGAAAAAGAGAAGGTGCTTTATGGATTAAAGTAAATCCTAAAGCAACAATAAGCAACTATCTTTAGTTAAACTTTCCCAGAAGTCTGAAAAAGCGACTCGGCTACTTTCAAAGAACAAGGAACAAAAGCGGTGTGCAATTCATGCAAAGTCTCAAGCACTTCTCAATCTTTTTGAAAGCACACAAAGCTCTAACAGCTATGTCAACATTAGAGTTATTCAACATTAGGATCCTTTTGCACTGTTAAAGAGAATTGCCCCCATCCCACCCCACCCCACCCCAAAATCATTTGAAAGTAGCAGCATCTTCAGGCAGGGGAGCCTAAGGGAATCAAACTGATCAAGGGAGGATTGCGATTTCTTGATACCAGTCTAATTATGTCCATTTTCTATGTGCATTGTGATGAACATACATGTGAAAATGTGGCAGGATTTGCCACAGTCCTGCTTTCTGTATTCTCATGAATGCAGTAAGACCTCTAATAAATCTATTTTTATTTTATTTTATTAAGTTTTTATGCTGCCCATTTCCCCTTATAGGGAAGCCTAGTCTGAAAGGCCTAGTGCTGTTGCAGAGGAAGAAGTAAATGGTGTTATTCATCTAGGATGGAAATAAAATAATAAAAAGTACTCAAAATTCAATCCACTACAGCACACTTGGGACTTACTCCCAGAAAACAGGCTCAGACTACACTTTTCAGTGTTGTAGGATTACTTAATTAAGATCCTTCTACTATTACCCATCGGCAAATATCTCTTTAAAAAGTATAGACTCCTTCATTCTAAGGTTTACAATGACTGGGGAGAGATCTGATCAGAGGCAAATTCCAATCTGATGCAATAGGATTGGTTCCCTAGAAAGCATAATCTGGCTTACTGCCTTCTCCTATTATTTGTTTTGAGTTTGAAGGGATAAGTGATGAGTAATGAGCACAGTTTAGCTCTACTGTGTCAGTGGATTAAGTCACAATGGCCAAGGAGATTATCAGAGGCAGGCTCAAGCATGTAGTCAAACAGAAGAATCACAACTGAAGCAAGTCCAGACAGGATCTCCTTACTTACAGGTAATCCTTGCTGAACAACCCTATTTAGGACCAGAATTTCTGCTGCTAAGCAATGCAGGGGAAACAACACATGACTACGCTGCTTAGCAGGTTCAGTAGCCCCAGTTGTTAGGCCAGTACCATACCACTGTAGGACCTCAAGCTTTCTCTGCCCTGCTGGGCTTGCCTTCACTTCAACTTTCCCATTCACCTATCTTCTCTATTTCTGCTCTTTAGGCCACCCTGTACCCGACTATCACTACCATGCTGCACTCAACTACCCATGCCAAGATTGCAGGTGTCTTAGAAGCCTCGCAAGATCTCAGGAAGGCTACACATGACCTTAGAAAGATGATGTCATGCTTCCAGCAGTCCCTCGTCAGCAATGAGAGAAAGAAGACAGCAAAGTTCAGCTGGGGCAACAAGAGTGGCGGAGCAAAGGGCAGCAAGGTAGTGGAGCAAATGGTGCAGGGCGGCAGAGATTACAGGGTAGCAAGGGTGGTGGAGCATAGGTCAATCAAAAGAAAGAGCAGAAGAAAGATGGAGCACATCCCACAATCATAAATGCAGGTGAGATGCCCAGTGCCTGAATACTGACTACATAACCAAGGGGCACTGCAATGGCCATAACTTCAAAGGCCTGGCATAAGTATCATTCATTTAGTGTCATAATTCTGAATGTTGAGAATATGTTTAACCTCCTTAAGCAAGCACTATCTGTATTATATACAAAGCAACACAAAGCTGGACTTTTGTCCAGAAACCAGTAGACACATGCAGTCCAGGTCTTCCATCTATGCCAAGAAACATTGTTGGATATGCAATCTAATCAGCAGATTCTCCCACAAATCACAGGGTTCGGGATGAATTGCAACATGGATATTTGCACTATAATATGGCATTCAGAAGAATAGCAAAGTTCAACTTCAAAAGAACACTTTTATTTCTGAATGTGGTGTAGGTTGCTACCACCATAGTTCCCCATTACTTTGAACCAGTTTAATGGCCAAGAGTACAGATCGATGCTCATGGCTACTTCTCCATTCCAAATGATGTCCCTATGTTCCCTAGATAAGGGACAAAGCAATGTGCAGGGTTTATTTCCCAGCCAGGAACAGGAATTAGAAGAGGATAAATCCTGAAGCGTGAGATGATTGCTGCAAGCATGTGATGAAAGCCTCAAACCCTACACTTTGCCAGCCAGGATGCAAAGACAGAAACTAGGAATTTGGTTTAGTCTGAAATCCAGGTGAATACAAAATAAAATTATTCATAACATAAACTGGATATTTTACTTGGCATTAAGAGATTATAATTAAAAATGAATCACCAAGCTGTTTTCAAAGTATACTATCAAGATACCAAAGCATCATATCTCAAAGGCCTGAAGTCCTTACCAATCAATTTAATGAAAGGATTTCTCTTTTTTGCTTCTTTCATCAGCCACCATTGATAGCCACGGAAATAATTTTCATCATTTTCATAATGCATGTGGGAGGGTTCAGTGCCATCTAGGAAAGGAAAATAAAAATTATCTTTGTATTTCATTAAATGCAAGGCCTTCAACTATTTTTACTCCAACATATTTCCGAAAAACATATGAAACTATACCTGTGCAATGAAAGTGAATATGAAAACATTACTCAATTTTAGCCCACAAGATAATGTCAAGGGCACATACATTAATACAGGTAATTGTCTACATCACATTCACCTTTATAATATTCATTTTAAAAACATAATTATATGACTAGCTAGTAATAACAGATTACGAAGCTTTTGCTCAGTAAAAAACTATTATGTGCCAAGAACAGTCACTCCTAAATTTTAGACTTAAGTTTCAAAATGGAACTTTACAAATGGAACAGCTGTAAGCATGATACCAAATTTCAGACTGGATTTAGAGTTTTTTTCTGTAAACTATCACTATGGGCAATTATACACACTGACTGGCAACCATCCAGATCCTTAAGTAATTCTTCAATTATCTACATTAGCAGATATTAAATCTTTTTAATAAGATTGCTTTAGCACAGGCTGAACTTGTTTTACCACTTTCTACGTGTCTGAAATAAACTTGTTATATAAGGAGGAATCTCACAATTTTAACAGTTGGCACCAGATTTACTTGATATTTTTAAAGAAAAGGTGGTCCTATTTTGTTCAATTAGTGAAGCAAATACAATCTTATATGGAGGGAAGTAGAGAAAATGCATGTTATATTGTGCAAAACTTAAGGGAGATTTGCAAGTATCACTTAGAATTAAGGACGTGTCATTGCATTATCCAATATTAACCAAGCACATATTGGGATATTACAAGATTTCCCATGCATGCTTTCTAGAATATATGCAAGAAAGGAATGCAGGAGTAGATTATAAAGAAACAATTCATTTGCAGAACAGCAAATATCAGCACTATTACCCCAGGGGATCCCATTCACCAATGCTACAAACCTTTCCTGCAAAACCCAAATTCAAATACCTGTAGATTGTGCATCACCACCAATCTCTACTTTGAGGAGCTGTAAGGAGGCACCAAAATTTGGCTTGAAACAAGAGAATGAGAAAGAAAAAGTGTTAATGTTTCTGTTTGGTAAACAACACTCCACTGTTATCACGCTCATTTTAATAAGTTTTCTCCTAATTAACATGAACTCTGTTTCCTCATGATTCTAAAAAGAATAATTACACTATTTCCTCCCTCCCCACATTTTATACAAATGATAACACTCTACATTGGCTTTCCTTCCTTCCTTCCTTCTTTAACAACACAACAACACAAACAATAATTCTTACTTTAAGATCGGAGGTTTATTGTTTCTAATAATTTGGAACATAAGAAATGAATAGATATAAAAGATATAATAGCAATAATACACTTACATTAATAAGCCATTGCAATGGGGTCCAATGACATAAAGCAAATCCTACAAGGACTGCCATAAATCAAAGGACCCCAAGATGATCTCCTATCCATTATACTTTTCTTCTAACCACATACACACTTCACAACTTCACTTTACATAAACACCTGTGTACATCATTTCCAACAGTTTCATTCTTCCTGTTTTAAACATATCCATAAAAGTGTATACTTTGCAAAAATACATTTCACAGTCAACAAGGGCTCAGCAGGATTACTAATAGTTCTGGTACATTTTGAAACCTAGCTGAAAACTTTGGTTCTTATCTCTTTCTTCTGGGGCCTGCTATTATCCATAGGACTTATTGGATCTAATAGATCAATAAGCTATATTTTTTATTCCCACACCAGTAAGTAGGATTCACACATCATGGTGAACGAATTCATATGGAATGCTAAGATCTAACTATGACTTACACATCCCAATACCCAAGTCCATATTTCAACTGCAAAACTCCAGAAGACTATTGCATGGAAGCAAAGAATTGACATTCATGGTTTTGCTGCCTTCCTAGCATATTGCCTGAATTTCTCACAAATGGTATTTCAACATACTATGGCTTAGTACCATGTTGGTGAACCAAGTCATCTATATCAAAGATGACATGCCACAATATTTTGGTGGACACACCAGCATTTACTAACATCCAATATCAACTGTTCTCAAATTGGGCAAGAAGGCCATAATTTCCACCACTTCCAAACCCTCCACTTGAGTGACTGACAGCAGTGACACCAGCACTGAAGACAATGTCTGTGTGTTTACTTCAGTTCTAGCATTGGCACTGTTGCTGAATGCTGCTGTTTAAGAGTGACTTAGATGGGAGGAAGATAAAGAAATGTTTCTCTTTTGTGTGTGTGTGTGTGTGTGTGCGTGTGTGTGTGTGCGTGCGTGTGCATGTGTGTGTGTGACATGCCAGCAAAAGTCAAGTTAGGCATTTTCCAAAATGTTGATATGCCAAGCCAAAAGGTTTGCTATCCCTGGTTTAAGTACAATGTGAATCAAATCTGCTTCTATTCACATTTTCTTTCTAGACTACTTCAAAAAGTTCAGCAGACTACGTTTGATTTTTCTACAGGTAGTCCCTGCTTAACGACAGTCATTGGGACTGGAATTCTGACTGCTAACCAATGTGGTTGTAATGCACAACATAATGGGACCACATCGCTTAGCAACAGTGGTCCCTGATGTCATTAGGTAAGAATTGTGGGTCATTAAGCCCACAGGATGGCAGGCAGGTAAGTAGCTGCTGCTGGGTAAGGGAAGATGCATTTTATTTTATTTATTTATCAAATTTATGTAGTCATCCATCTCACCAAAAATGACTCTGGGTGATGCACAACAATGAAGTAAAATGACAATATAACAATTTCACATTAATATAAAAAGCAAAGGTACACAACCATATGCGATGAGAGGAATGAAAACGGCAACCACAACCAAAGAGCCTCTTAACAAGTCTCCAGTACCCTTTGGGAGCTCCAGGCCTCATAATATAATTAGGTCTTGAGGATCTTTCAGAATGAAAAAGGGGATGGAGGTAAACTAGTTTCCAGGGGAAGGATGTTCCATAAAACAGGCGCCACCAGGGCAGAGAAGGTATGTCTCCTGGGACCCAATAAACATAGCAACATGCCCTTTCCACCAAATCCAACGGGGTGGACTAAGAAGAGAAAGTACTAAATCCTGTGGGACCTCTGCCAAGGGCAGGACCTCTACTCTCCCATCATCATGAACTGGAATCAATCTGGAAGGAAGGAGTAATATTGCATGGGCACCCACAGCATCATATGAGTAATTTGAGGCCTGGGGATGGTTGCTGCTGAGTGGGGGAAATTTTTCTCAAGCAACTCGTAATATTCCCTATCGGTTTCCCCATTAACTTTACAAGTCAGCAAGAAAGGTGGCAAATGCAGTTTACTTGACTGAGGGCCACTGTAACCATCATTAAGTGTAAGCCAGTTGCCAAGTGCCCAGATTGTAATCACATAACCACAGGGGTGATATGTTGACTTTGAAGACCAGTCGTACCACTTGTTCAGCACCACTACAACTTCAAACAGTCACTGAACTGTGGTAGGTAATCAGCTCTGCTTTCTCTAGTCATTAGTATTTTTTTTTCAAAATGCTTCCAAAAATATATCTCATTGCTGAACCAGATTGTATACCCACATTATTTTCATCCAAGGTAAATAATGATATGTAAAGTGTAGAAGACATTTGTAGGGGAAAGAAATTAAAGAGAAAGAGAAAGAGAAGAAAAATCCGCATTCTCTGTAATTTTACCAATCTTTTTATTTCCCATTAGTAATTCTTTTCATTTTGTTCCAAACAGCTTCCACATCCTCTTTATGTCTAGCTTCATTGATTTCAACTGAGAGAATAGTCTAACTACTAATAGCTTTGGAATTGGGTATTATCTAGTTTAATGAAAAGAAGGACTAGGGGGTGACATGATAGCCATGTTTTGATATTTCAGGGACTGCCACAAAGAAGAGGGAATCAAGCTATTCTCCAAAGCACTTGATGGCAGGACAAGAATCAATGGATGGAAACTAATCAACACTGCAAGTTTTTAAGAAGAGATTTGTCTGAAATGGTATATAGGGTTTTCTGCCTGAGCAGGAAGTTGGACCAGAGCAGGGGTCGCCAATCTTTTGGACCTCAGTGGGACCACCAAACTCATAATTTTAAATCCTGAGGACCAGAGACCCTGGGAAAATCCCCCAAAAAGTCTGCAGGAAAATTCTCCACCCTGTTTTCCTATCGATTGATCGTCCTTTATTTGGGATCGCAGGATACCGTCTCCAGCTCTGTTCTCAGGGAGAAAGAAAGAGAGAGAGACTTTTGGCTTCATGCAAGGAAAGCAGCAGAAGCAGCAGAAGTCTTTTCTCTACCCCAAACGCCGCCAGAAATGAGTTTTTGTGAGACTTGTCACATCAGCGCAGCCTCTTGGAGTAGGATGCCTTGCAGGGTCCCAAAGACTCATTTCTGGCGGAGTTTGGGAGAGAGAAAGAAAAACTTTCCTTACGTGCAGCCAAAAGCAGAAGAAGAAAGAAGCAGAAAGAAGCAGCCCGGTGGCCAGGCCAGGTGCGTGGGGTGAAAGGGACAAGTTCCCCCCATCCACCCTTTCCACACTCCCCTCACTACCTCGTGTTGTTCACAATGCAAGCCTTGTGTTCCCATGGGCCATATGGGTGGTGTAGCCTTGTATTCCCACATAACCTGGATTAATTGCTTTGGGGAATGCTTTGGGGGTGACATTTCTCTACGGACCACCAAAATTTTCTCACGGACAACAGGGGTCCCCGGCCCACTGGTTGGCGACCATTGGACTAGAAGACGTCCACGGTCTCTTCCAACTCTGTTATTCTATTCTGTTCTAGTTTTTTGATAAGGTACTTTTATTTTCTCTTTCTTCAGTCATTCAATTTTCATTCTAATTCCTTTTACATTCAATTCCTTCAATGTCCACTTGCTACCATTATCACCTCTAGATATAGCAAAAGGTGCTCTGTCCCATACATCTCAAGAGTTTTGAATCTCTCACTAATAGTCTCACAATTTCATTCCAATCATGCTTTTAGATTTATATTAATTCTTTTTGTACATGCATATAAGAGATGTGCTTGAAGTATTTTGAACATATTTTTATAAGGTTTATAAGAAAGTTTTTATTTTTCTCATTCATTATTGTGTCTCTGAATCAATCTGGTGGTTACAATTCTGGGCTAAAAGACTAAATGGCATTTTCTCTCCCTCTCTCTCTCTCTCTCTCTCTCTCTCTCTCTCTCTCACACACACACACACACACACATACACTGTATATGCATGTCTGTGTATACATTCAGCCATAATTACAACTTACATCTTTGCACTAATTCCAAAAGCCATAGTAACAGAGCGAATAAGTGGCAGAAAGGTACTGCAATTATATTTCATATATCAATCAAGAAGAGAAATAAATACTGTGGTAAAATAGTGAATGCACAGGAAAGAACCTGAACACATTAAACTTTTTTTAATATTTCCACCACTCTCGTTTGCATCACAGCCTTTTTTGTTAATACATTTAAGGAAAATAATTAAAGTTCTACCTTAAAGTCAATCCAATAAGGCAATAATTACCTTAAAAAGATAATCTAAAATCTGAGATCGATACGGCTCTTGGTAATTCACTAAAAGACGTGAGGTAGCCTAAAAAAAATTAGGAAGAAAAATGTTTGGAATTAATACTTATACATAATGATACTACTTATCAGAAGTATCAGATAATCACTTTTATGCCCATTTTCCCATGATTCTTTCATTATTTCTATTATCTTCATAAAAACTTCTCTTAGCCTCTGCAAATACTAAATTTAAAAGCTAGCAGCAGCTAGCCAATCATGGCTGATCTCAAAATACTACATACGATCAAACATCAAATATACGATCAAACACGATCAAGACAAAATCCCAGATCTGTAAATTTGACAGGGAATTCAGAAAAAAAAATAGTCAAAGAAGGCAGCAACAAATTTCTTGTCAAAGAAAACCAAAAAGATTTGTCCAAGAAATAAGAAATAATTAGAAATAAAGTTTTAACTTGAGTGTGCCTTTATTTTACCTAATAAAATCTTACTTTTATCCCATTTGTCTTAGCAGTTTCTATTATCTTCCTGTACTTTACTACTCACAATGAAATATATCCATGCGTGTCCACTCTTGACACTGATCACTTCTTTCTCCTGCCTACAAATTCTTAGCTGGAATCACTCTTTGCTCTGTCTTTAGAAAGATATCTTTCTATTTTAGAAAGCCAGCGTACAAAGCTTTATCCACTGAAATCCAACTGGCAAGAATTCCAGTCCAGCTTCTTTAAAAAAAAAAAAGACATTTGCTTGCTCATTTCTCTCTCCTGTGCCCCACTGAACAAAGCTGGAGAATATATCTTACTTTTAAGTACATTGTGCAACCCATTTGCCCAATTATGTCTGTTTCTTTATCCCCTACCTGATGAAATGGCTTCTCAACTGGAGACAATAAAATTTGTCTGTTAGGAATTATAAGTTCTGTGAACAATAAATTGAGTTAATATGTACATATAATACACGAACTAAATTAAGTAACCACTCTCAGATCCCCTTACAGGCATTTCCTGTAAAAAGAATTTGATCAAACTTAACAGCTCAAGTCTTTTTTTTTTGTTTACAGGAAATGCCTCTGACTGCAGGACGGGTTTTCTATTTTGCCTTAGGGATCTGAGCGTGGTTATAATACTTCATCCCCAAGGTAAGCAGAGGACACGGGGGACTACGGGGCGATCAGCGGTGCTCCCGCTAGGAAGCGACCCCGAGCTTCAGGTCCTCGGATTCGGAGGTCCTTTCTGGGCCGATGTCCTTCAGGCTGTGAAAAGCCTCCTCGATTCCGTGCAAACGCCACCCACCCACCCAACTCCAAAGGAGCCCAGACTGACGGCGCCCCGCTCCCAGCCCGCGCGGGGTCTCCGTTCACCCACCCCGCCGCCGCTAACGGCTCCGATGCCATCGAACTGCCGCCCGAGCCCGACGGCATCATCCAGCCAGTAATCGTCGCTCTGCCAAGCAGCCGCTCTGCAGACCAGCAGCCAGAGCAAAGACCAAAGCCGCATCCTTGGCAGGTCAAAGGAAGCGCCGCGCTCAGGACGACCCAGGGACAGCTCTCGCAGGGAATCCGCGGGAGGCAGCGGCAGCCTCGCTCCTGATCGCAAGCACGGTCATGTGACACGCGATCACCTGACCAGGCGGGCAAGTGCCGGCGCGGAAAGAAAAGGGAGCCGAGTCTTTGAAGGGCGGTGCGGCTCTCTTTGTCCTCCCCCCGCTCCGCCTTGGCGATGACGTAAACTCGAAGTCACGTGCGGGCCCGGATTGTATGAAAGATCGGGGCCCTTGGGATTTTTAACCATTGCATACCATCGGCACTATAAGCGCCCCTGAGGAGTTGAAAGTTTAATGTGCCTTGCGGTGGTTTTAACAGGAAACGAGAACCATCTTTCTTGTAACAAGAAATTAATGAAGGGGCGTGCATAAGCGCCCAATCGTGCCTACCGTCCCTGTCCTATTGTCCCCATTTATTCGTACCTATTTCCTGTATTCGTACCCATGTTCATTCTTATATCTATTATCTTGTAAGCGATTGACAAATCAAATAAAAACATAAAGTAGGAAAAGCCTGCAAAGCGTGGCTTCTGGAACCTCTCTAATCATTTGAGGATTTTACTTCCTTGGGTGGAACGATGTACAATGGTCCTGTGTGTGTTTGTTCTTCTATTCACACTTTGCTCTCTTTCACTCTTCCTCCCTCCCTCCTTCCCTCTCTCCACCAAATATAGCCCTATTCCATGCTGTTTGAGGAGGGTTATGCTGCTGAGGGACAGTCTTCACCCCTGTGTTTTCCCCTCTCAGTTTGTACTACACCAAGTCCATAAAAATGTCTCATTTTTCAGATGGGTATGAAACTTTAACGAAAGATCCATTCCATCTGTTCAGTCTTTTTATTGCAAGTTAATTGCTTTTGAGAGGCCAATGGTGTTGGATATTTTAAGGTAAAGAAGTGTTAGACCAGTTTATCCACCTATGGTGTATGTGTGTTTTTTAAATGCAGATGTGGCCAGTCATCCGGTGTGTACATTCATCAAGAGTCAGCATGGCGAGATGGGCAGCACTGAACTTTAATAATAAATAAATTAAATATATAATGTCAGTAAGTCATACAGTAACTTCAGAAATCTGGTTGCCTTGAACACATCACCAAAGGGAAAGAAGGGAAAGAACATTTTGAAATACCAGGTTTGAAGTATTATAAAATAACCAATCTATAAGCACAGGAATATTAATTCATTATTCATTAGTGTTGAAAGGTGTCAAAATGCCTTTCCTTCGAGGATTCGATTTTCCCGCTGGGAGAGCTCTGGCACAAGGATACGGACAACTGCTTGAAAGCTGGATCTTTTTATTTTTCAGGAAGGCGAGGGACAGCGAGAAGTCTGCGTTCCTGGGCTAGCTAGATTCTTATGGTAAGTCCCTGGTTTTTTATACCCTTTTCTCCCTTTGTGAGTTGATTTGTGTGAATGTTTGTATTTGTGCTTAATGTTTCAAATCCTGTTTGAGTTTGTCTTTATTCCTGCCGGAGGGCAAACTCCGTGGGGTGCGGAAGGCAAACTCTGCAGGGTGGTTAGATTGTATTATCGGTTTTTCCTAATCTCTTTTAGCTTTATAACGGTTTTTTCATACTTGTCTTGTGGCAATCTTGTCTAGTTTTCTTAATTACTTAGGCTTTTGTCTATAGGGATTCTTTAATACCTTTTATTTGATTCCTTTTCCTATGTATGTTTGTTTTATGGCTGGCCTGATGTTCCCCTTGGGCTTTTCCTGTTTGAGTGACACTACTGTCTGCGTGAAGTTCCCTTTCCACATTAGAATGCTTTTAAAATGTGTAGTGCTTTACAAAAACAGTGCTTTAAAATATGTATTGTTATTACGCATGCATTTTTTCTCTCAGTGTGTAGGAATAGTCTGGATTCTTTTAGGATGATGTATGTGACTTGAATGTTTTGCTTAGGGTCAGGAACCTTCTCAGGATGTATAATAGATGCTTACTAAGGTCTCCACTTTGAGCAATTCCCATTGATTATTTGGTTCTGTAGTTCTGTTTCCAAACCCTCTTTAACCCCCAGCTCTAAACTATTTCCTTTCTAAATTTGACAGAACTATTTTGCCTCTATTTTACTATAATAGTAGTACTTTACTCAGATTGCTGCACATACTGAGATCTCATTATCATGTTTTCAGCTTCATAGTACTGAGTCACTTCACCAACCATTTTGAGTTAGCTTGTCTTGCATAGCTTCAGAGATCACAGAGCAATGATAACTTTAAGCTTATCTTGAGCAAGAAACAATACAAATCGCAGAAGTTTAGCATTTTATTCTGTTTGATGATTGGGTATGCCTTAATCCTCTTATAAATGACCTGTTATCTGGCTATGGTTACGTAGGTTACATCTCATTGCTGTAGAAGCCATGGACCTATTAGAATAGTCTTCCCAAAAGATCTATTGATCAAATTGGACTTCAAGAGAACTTGTGCAGGTTGGTGGTTAATCCCATTAATAATCTGTTGATGCCCTGAAATAGGTGACTTGCTAAGGCTATTCATATAATCACTTCTAATTTCTGTCATGCTTCACAAATGACTCCTGAGGTACAAACTTTGGGAGCTGCAAAAGCAAGTTAGATAGCTAAAGAGCACGTGGTAGATGACTCAGGAAGTACAGCATAACATCCACTTGAGAGTATGCAACAGAGAAGCAATATATACTGCATTGTCAAATTCAGTGCTTGCTGGGCTTTTCAGGTTGTGCTCTTTTTCAACCTCCCACGCTTCATCATAGAACCTCTAGAGTTTTGAGGTTTTGTTGGAATTTTGCTTTGTTGTTTGGGGGTTTGATGTAGTTTGTTTTCTTGCTGATATAATCTCAAACTTATTCAAGCTTGCATAAATTCCAGCATTAATTATCTTCTGTAGGCATATAATAATGACTCCTGTATGATTAGAATGCATACATTTCCATGTGTGATAACTCTAAATGTAGACATACTGTTGGAAGAGATACATTAACCAGTTATTCTCTTAATTCTTGGCTTGTAATTTCTAGCCAGGAGTTAATAAAAATGTTATAGTCTGTATCATCAGTATTACACTCTGGAGTGCGGAATGCATCCTTACTTGAAAGAGATAAGAATCTCTTATTTTAGAATGCATCCTGATGAATTATATTTAGAGAATGACAAATGGAAAATAGAAAAAAATCCCAGAAAAGGGGAAAAAGAAGAGGTTCTGTAAGAAGAAAACATTGATGTATACAGTACAAATAATATCTCAGTAACTGTTTTAGTATAGACCAGAAACATTCAAATAGTAATAAAATAGTAGTAATAGTAATAACATGTAGTCCTCACTTAATAACTGCCCTATTTAGCAACCATTCAAAATGGAAAAAAACCGTATGACTGGTCCTTGAACTTACAATGGTTATAGCATCCCCATAGTCCCAGGATGGAAATTTATGTGTTTTACTACCAATAAGTGTTTATAACTGTCACAACATCTCATAGTCACAGTCTATAGAGAATCTCAGTCATCCATGTCATGATTGTCCCAAAGATGCTTTTTCAGGAGGAAACTGGACTTTCGGGGGTGAGGGTCTTTGTTTTGTTTTGAAGACATTTTGCTTTTCAATCAAGAAGTTTCACAGAATTGAAGAAACTTCTTCAATGAGAAGCAAAGCTCTTCAAAGAAAAACAAGAAAGTCCCGTTGCCTCCTGAAAAAGCACCTTTGGGACTTGTATTCACAGAATCGCTATTGGTACATTTCACAGCTAGCTTCTGACAAGTAGGGTCAATAGAGAAGCTTGCAGCAAAATCATAAGACACAGTCACCTTATGCCTCACTTAATGAGCTGAATGATTCACTTAACAAGGAAGTACGCCTGTAAGGCCTTCACGATTACCTGACATCTTGCTTAATAACCATGACACAACAATGGAATGCCAGTCTCAATTGTCACCATTAAATGAGGACTACCTGTAGTAATAGAAGTATGTGTAGGTTGGGATGCAGGTGTATGTACATCATGCTTATACTTTTGACTGTGCAAAATAAGTCTCCTTATCCCTTTTAAGACCTATAGAGAAACCACCTGGTTCAAAGGTCAGTGTTATTATTTCTTGCATCTGGGTCAATCTAATTGACTTTTTTTTTTAAAAAAAACCCTATGACATAAATGTTCTTGGCTGGTCAGCAATTTTTGATGTCGTTGACTATGGCAGTTTTCTGGACCTCCTGGAAAATCTGAGGTTGGAAGCTCTGTTTTTTATTAACTCCCAGAGTTCTGTCTTGAGATACATTCCTAATGGGATCATTTGGAAACAGTTATTCCTCAGAATGAGAGTTGTAGACTGCGCTTTCCTTTTGAGCAATATACTGTAGATTCCATGTAGATTTCTTTGTTCTAACTATAATTACATGCTCCTCAAGAATCAATCAAGAAGTTTGGATATGTTTCTGGACTAAGGTTCCCCCCACCCCACCCCACCCCACCCCACCCCCAAAAAAAGATGAGACTCTCTATCAGTTTATTGTGACACATGAACTTTTACATGCATTAGCTATTCAGATTGCTTTTGTACTGAATAAGAAAATGTCAGAACAGAATTCAGTATCCCATTGGGCTTCACAAGAAATTGAATGAAACCATACTTCTGGGTGCTGATCAATCTTTCCACCTCCGAACCATTCTTAGTCTAATTTGAAATGCATCTGAGATTCTTTTGGTTATTTGGAGATAATATGAATGAAATCATATTTATGAGTTTGAAGCCAAACTATGTAGAGAACCATCAGCAATTCAATAGATACCCTTTCTGGCTAATAGCTAAGCACAGAAAACTGTCAGCCAATGGTCTTCTCTTATTTCCTTCTCAAGCTAGCCAAGAACAGAGTGCCCTGTTTCATGCCTTCAGCTGCACTGGGACATACCTAAAAATTACTTTTTTTCCATCTCACATATAAAAAAGGTAATAAGTTATTAGCAGCATCTTCTTTTCTATTCCATTGTTTCCATGTGTCTGTTCTAAATATTTGTTTAATTGCTTAGCAATACATTCCC